TATATATATATATATATATATATATATATATATATATATATATATATATATATATATATATATAGTGAAATTGTAGTAAAAGTCCACGGTATAGGTAGGTTATAAATAAAATAAAATCCAAGATAAACAAACAAGTTCACATTTAATTATTACACTAAGTGCTTTCGCCGTGAGGCTCTTCAGAGTGTAACTTAGTTTATAAAAACAATACAACTTGGTTGTTATGAGGTCGTTATTGTGACGTCATAAAGGCAGCAATATAGGCGCAGGTAAATGTCATTAGGGCTCCAAAAGTAGAGAATTGAACATATGTACATTGTGATGAAATAGACTGCTAATTTTAAGCTATAATGTTCAATTTACATTTATTTTAGGTTTAAATAATTTTACAAAGTAATCTTCCTTGGCTCTCCGTAATTGTTCATTATTTTCTAGAACTTTATAAAATGGAATTTTATAAAGTTCCAGAAAATAATGAACGATTACTTTGTAAAATTATTTAAATATTTAGTGTTTGGTAGTTTAGTAGTAGTGCTAGTTGTTTTTGCTTCTCTATTTCCTTTGTTTTTATGACTTCTTAACTTTTTTCTTTGTCCTGAGGAAGGGACAGGTCGTCCCGAAAATTTGAAAATTATTATTGTTCGTGTCGTTGGTCATTTTTAGTGCTTTATATAAATTTCCATCCGTGACCTTGTATCTACTTAGTAGATCCGACACTTAGTACACGTTTCACACCTCGAACAAAGGGTTTTTGCTGCTACCAAATCACTTGGTACACCCCAAGCCCAAGCTTCATGGTTGGTTGGTTATGCCATTGTGTGCATAATTATTTAACTTATCATTAACAATGATAAGTTATAATCTGTGGGTTTCGTGTGGAGACTGAACTCGATTTCACCATCAGTCAGGGTAGATGTAGTATCTAGGAATATGTTTTTCGAATAAGATATGTCTACTGTAAATTTGATAGACTGATGAAAGGTGTTGACAAACGAAATGAATGCCTCGAGGATCTCGCGACATTCCACCCACACCCACATCACCGTTCTACCATTAGGACCAAAAAACTCAATGAACCCGTTGGGGAACATTTCAACCTTAAAGGTCACAAATGGGAGGACATGACAGTAGTGGTTATTGACCATAATCCAAGATGGACAGACGCGCAGAGAAAAGGCAAGGAAAAGTTCTGGATGCACAGGCTGAAGTCATTCCGCCCTAATGGTATTAACAAACTTAATGACTTCACCAGGATGAACGTGAACTAGACCCAATCCCGGATTGTAACAAACAAGTTCATTCTCTCTATATAGTGTAAACTTTACCGTTAACTCGTATTAGCAATCCTGGAACAACCTACCCAAATATTTACAGCTTACATTTTTGTTTGTTTCTTTTTTCCGATTTCCAAATTTATAATATATCCAAATTCATATTTCAAAATTGTCCTTTCATATTATCTTTCTTTAATTTCTTTTTATCATGTAGAGTTACGCTATTTTGAGAGAATAAGACAATGTACGATTTACTGTTGGTCGTAATTAATTAGCGAAAATTAATTCGTTCAATTATGTAAATCACAATTCACCAGAGTACACCCGATAGACCGGACGCAATTCATAGCGCTCCGGATTTCTTTGTTCACAACTGTTTATAAACTCCAAATTAAACATGTAACATTGTAAATATTTAGTGTTTGGTAGTTAAATAGTAGTGCTAGTTGTTTTTCCTTCCCTATTTCCTTTGTTTTTATGACTTCTTAACTTTTTTCTTTGTCCTGAGGAAGGGACAGGTCGTCCCGAAAATTTGACAATTATTATTGTTCGTGTCGTTGGTCATTTTTAGTGCTTTACATATATATATATATATATATATATATATATATATATATATATATATATATATATATATATATATATATATATATATATATATATATATATATATATATATATATACACGAGGGTTGTCCCAGAAAAACGTGAACTTTTTAAATATTACATAAACTACCTGACCAAAATTAACCATTTTTGGCATAATGTTGGGAAATGATATTCTTGTCATTTTGGCGAAATAATATAAGGTTCCAATGCCATATGCATTTATAAACAACATTTAAAGGGTGTTTAATATAGATGGTCGGCGCACGGCATTTTCTTGACTTTTAGAAATAGCATTGACAGCAAGATTTTCTTTATTACCAGGCTATACGGAAATATAATGTGCCAAAAATTATATCCTTAGAAACTTTATGATCTAGAGTACTCGTGTGTAAAAAAATCAATACTCTAACATCATAAATAGCAAACATATGACGTTATATGCGCTAACACTATTAATTAGATATTGCCAAAAACGGCGACGCCGAGAGATAATGCAGCGCACCAAATCATCACTCAGTGTTGTGTGGAGCGGGATATGACTCCTGTTCATACGGAAAAAGAGCTGGGAACGAGGGAACAACACAAATTCATATATCTATCACAGGTTTATACATAGTAAAAGAGGTTCAAAGATGAATGGACTGGTTATCCGATGAAAGAAGTGTTTGATAAACCAACAAAAATGACGAAAAACTGAAAAGGCTATAGAGCTGGACGTCATACGTTGAGACCACCGTTAAGTATTCGAGCTATTAGGTTTATGATCGGGGTTGTGAAATTGTCTATTTAAAACATTTATTCTTTGATTTATTCTTAACTGCAGTACGTGTGAAATTGATAACTCGGTAACTAAAAGAAAATAAAATGCAGTATCGAACTTATGCTACGAATTTTTAAAGACGCACGATTCCTGAACAAATTCAAAAACTCCACGAGCTACGTTTTGACGTCGTCGGTGTTGCGCCGGCAGCTATTTTGAATGATTCGTTTACCAAAGAGAAAAATTTTATTTATAGAGATATTTTACTGAAAATTCTGTGAATTCGTTAAAAAATGTTGATTTTAATGCATGCCAATTTTTAGCTTTATAATATTAGTGAAACAAAAATTATTGAAAATGTTCGCGTTTTTCTTGGACAACCCTCGTGTGTGTGTATATATATATATATATATATATATATATATATATATATATATATATATATATATATATATATATATATATATATATATATATATATATATAATTGTGAAATGTTATTTTTGTCATTTTGATTTTGAAAAAATATTATAGAGTTCAATTATCATATGCATGTGAAAACAACATTAAAATGGTATAAAATATCAGTGTTAAGCGTTCCGAATTTTTTTTTTAACTTTTAAAAATAGCATTGCAAGTCATGATATCTTTATAACCAGGCTATACAGTAATGTTATGTGACAATAATTTAAGTTGTAACTCCAAGACACAGCTAAGTTCTTGTCAACACGAGCATATGTTTCGTCTAGATGACTTTGTCTTTTACCATTAGGAAAAACATTACAGGAGAGAATATATCTTTTTGTGCTAGTGGATAGTATGCGTAATATTTTTTTATCAACAAAATGCAACAGTTTGCAATGCATGCCATAATCCGTACAACTACAAGTAGTTTTCTTGAATATTATGTTGAATTTTCTACCAATAAACGTTACAGTTAAGAAACATGACTTAAAGTAAGAAGGCAGGAATTGTCATCAATTTAGTTTCAACAAACTTAAAGCTTTTTTATGAAATGTGGAGATAATGTGAACAGTATTCAAGCTTTAAGTCCATTGAAACATTACAAATCGGGAGCAGAGCAAACACGAACCTCCTAAAACATCAGAGGTGGGATAAGGTACCACAGAGGAGTTATATCCCCTGCCGACAGGTCACAACCGCCGTGTACTCCTTGTCATGATCGGGAAAAACGGAAAATCCGTAGACATTTCAGAGTGTAACTAATTGCCTAACAATTAGCATGAAAAACGTTGGTCAGCATTTGACTTAATGATACGTTTTATTTGCTGACAAGGTCATTGCGAAATGATGCCTTCAAATAAGACTGTTGATATCATTTTTCATCAACTTGTTTGTCAATGCCTCCTTTTAGAAATTATAGCATAATTTGCGATTTAAATCATGTCGATTTCTGTATTCCACAATACTTTCCTATCGTAAATATATAAACAAGCTGAAAACATTACCAAAATATTCTCAAATCGGGAACTGCAATTGCTGCATTTACCTGGTTACAGCCCTTACATAGCTTAGGATATGAGGAAAGTCCAAGGCAAGCACTATTTCCTGACCATCAATTTTCCGAGGATGTATTCTGCAGAATTAATTGAACGTCCAGTTGATACTTACACGAGTAGAACCTAGATCTTCTGAGGTAGAAATTTATTATATACTGGTAATTATAGTTAGTAGTCTGAAAATATCATACCGTACACTTTAGTCTCTTCTGCCATCCTAACCTCCATTTCTTTTCTGACCTGAGTATTAATACACTTGAGAATTGCACTGCTTGGATTGGTCAAATTGGCTGTTGGCTGCACAATTGACATGAATGGACCTGGGGGACTCCCTATCCCACTCTAATTTTCAATGTTATTAAATGTAAAAATAATGAAAAATTGACCTTGGACCTTCTAGGAAACATGGACCATGGACCCCTCTTAATATTGTTAGGATAAGAAGAGAGTAGTCTATCAGAAGAAAATTGACTAAGGAAAGTATGTGCGTAGTATAGGATAAAATATCAGAAAAAGGAAAATGCACGCGAGATGAAACATCTTGCTTAAGAAAAATACATGAGCTTTAAAGTATCTCGGTACTGCAAAAGATAAGGCCAACCTGCAAGATGCAACAATGAAAACAGGGCATCATATATAAAAATATACCATCGAGATATGATAATAACGCAATATTTATTTTAGATTTTAAATGTCATTCTTAACAACTAGAATCAGGTGTTTATCGATGATTTAATAAAAATGCACGAAAATGTTTGTCATATTTGTCTAGCCAAAATACATAAATCTAGTTGTCAGCGTGTTTTCCACCAAGAGTTTGTCATCAGCTAGTAAATTTGGATATAAAACCCGTCTGACTGAAAAAGAAACCATTAATCACCTTCGTTTCGAAAGAAAACGGAAATGTACGGATTTTTAATTTGTTTGAGTTTGATTTTCACTGAAAGTGTAATCTTTGGTCTGCCAACTTCTCGTATTCTCTCGGTACAGGCAGAGACAGGTATGTTTACAAATCAATTATCATAAGTTTAAAAAAGTCTATCGAAAAGTTGTTGTTGATAGGTTTTGTTTTTCATTCACTTTGCCTATCTAGGTATGCAAAAGATTAATTTATATTCGTGTGTAAATTGTATACAAACTTCTCCTTTATCACACCTTAATGCATGTATAATTAATAACAAATTTAAATGGATATGTATATTACATCAAATATATTTAAAATCAAATCTTCCAGAATAGATAAATAAATAACATTTTCATACTTAGTCTAGGTTAGCAAACAAAGATGGTCTATAATCATGTGAATGTTTGCTACCTTAAATGTTCTGAATACATATGCTTTTTTACTTCTCTGTTTTCAAATAGGCTTTTTCACGAAAAGATATTTTTTTCTATCTGCAACAAAAATTGAATTACCCACTATGGTTTGTAAATCTAAAACTGTCAAATGAATTACAAAATTAAATGAATTTATCGTATTTAAGAGTGCTTAGTAAAAAACACCGGCAGTTAATATACACAACATGCGAAAAAGATGAACTTTATATATAGTTAAATCAAATTATTTGCTGGAAACATTGATTTGAACCTTAAGCTTAATGACTAAAACTGTGATTAATAATTTCAAGTGCATGTATGACTTAAATCACATTACAAATAGCCAAAAAAATCAGGAATTATGTTACCATGTATATTTCAACAATTGATCATATACTTCAGAATAAACTTCTTCCAACTTAAATCAACACAATTTAACGAGCATGTAATTTATTATTTATGGGTTTTCCTTTCAGGAAGTCTTTTGCAAAAACAACTGCTTCCCAGATTACATAACCCTAACGAAACAACTCCGGAATTTCTACATAAAAGAATTGTCGACAAGAAAGATGTTGCCACTGTAGTGACAAAGTTCTGCAAATTCTGTCAGCAGCCTTCATATGAAAAATCACAAGACTGCACATACTACTGCATGCCTTCAACAAGAGGAAAGAAAAAAGTTATTCAATTGAAGCAAACTGAGAAAGACAATCCAAATGGTGGTAAGAAGAAACATGACTTTTTTTCCCTTCTCAGCATTAATACTAGGCAATTTGATGAACGTGGGTATCAATATTGAAAAAAAAATGTTTTTGTTTTTTTAAATTTATATAGGTAAAAAAACTTCTTCTTTTTTAAGGTGGCGAACAAAAAGTCATCACTGTCCTTGGAGATACTATATGTGCATTTTGCAAGCAGTTTCCAGAGCATGAGTTAACAGACCTTTGTCAAAAAAAGATATGTTCCAAGTCTTCATTACCATCACTGTCAACTTTACAAGCCTTAACAAAACAGAACTAATTCTAAAAGCCATTCAGATTGAACTATATAAAGCACAATTAAATAGTTATGATTTATTGTTTATTTGTAATAAATGTTTCATTTAATAAATTAATTTTTCGTTTAAAATCAAAAACATGAAAACTTACGACTTTTCAACTCTGTATACCACAATTCCCCACGATAAATTTAAGTCCAGGCTTATTGACATTATTGACAGCTGCTTTTAAAATAAAAACGGAATTCGTAAATTTACTTACCTGTCATTGGTCATTTGCAAAATTACTTTGTTAGAAAAAAATCTTATTGTACACACAAGTACTCTGAAGTTGATATTAAAAAGATGCTTGAGTTTCTGATTGACAATATCTATGTGGTTTATGGAGACCAGGTTTTTCAACAATATGTTCGAATTCCCATGGGTACCAATTGCGCCCTGTTGTTAGCAGACCTATTTTTGTATTCTTATAAAGCAGAATTTATTCAAAATCTTTTATATGAGAAAAAGAAATCTCTTGCTGTGTTACGACGACGTATTATCAATTAACAATAGTTATTTTCATTCATATGTTGACACGATATATCTCAATGAGCTTGAAATAAAAGATACCACAGAGTCTGCAACATCTGTTTCATATTTAGATATTCTATTAGAAAAAGTTGTTAATGGTAATCTAACAACAAAGCTTTATGATAAACGTGATGACTTTAACTTTTCAATCATCAACTTCCCTTACTTATGCAACAATATACCCTTATCACTTGCATATGAGTTGTATATCTCTCAGTTGATTGGATACGCAAGACCATGCACTACGTATCAATAATTTCTAAAACGAGGTAATATATTAACAAACAAGTTGATGAAATAAGAATATCAACAATCTTGTTTCAGCACATACAACCTATCATAAGTCAAATGCTGACTGACGTTTTTCATACTAATTGTTAGGCCATTATTTATACACTGAATTGTCGACGGATTTCCTATCATGACAAGGAGCACACGGCGGGTGTGACCGGTCGGCAGAGGATGTTCACTCCTCCATGGCACCTGATCCCATCTCTGATGTTTTGGAGGTCTGTACATGTGTTTGCTCTGCTCCCGATTTGTATTGTTTTAATGGACTTGAGCTTAAATGCTGTTCGTTATCTCCATATTTCACTTAGGAACCATTAAAAATTGATTTGATGACTGAAACGTTTAACGTTATCTTTTAACTTTAGAGAGTAACAGGTAACCGTTTAACCCATCCATCCCCTTGAATTATAGCGTGCAAGTCCGCCATGTACAACATTTGGCTTGAATTCTACGAAGCATTATGATAATCAGTATTTCATTTGAGGAAAAGAAATATTCTTCAGTCTCTTTGAAATGCCTGTTTCTCAGATGCTGAAGTCGAATTTTCCTCGTACCTGCCGCAGCGTAATAACCCTTGGAGGTCCGGTCCAAGGACTGTCATTTAAGCCAGTGATACGAGCATTAGGAGGCGTGATATAGTGCATATTTGCATCTGCAAGTCTCTATCACCTTCATTGTGAGAATTTTCTAAATGCATGCTTATAGTCATGTTAAAGAAGCTGTGGCATCAATTAATAAAAGGGAATTTTTTTATGGCATATTGCTGCAACACTTATGCTAAATAGAAACAGTCTTGACCCCAAATTACAGGGTTTTTTTGTTTTTTCTATTGTTTTGTTTTGATTTGTTTTTGTTTTGTTTTGTTTGTTTGTTTTTTTTGTTGTTTTTGTTTTTGTTTTTGTTTTTGGTTTTGTTTTTTTTTTTTTATTTTGATTTTTTAACATTCGATTTATGATTTCTGTTAAGACGTTAAGCACAAAACTATACCCTAAATCTGATTTTTTTTTCCCCCTCTAAACTAGGATGTTGCGTTTCTTTTGCCTCTCAGCATATTCATTTAAAACTTTATCATTATACCGGAGTGAATCAAAGTGAAAGTAAATATAGAATGATTTTTTTGTGTGAAGCGTAGCAATAATTAATTATTTATTTTGGCTAATACAAATTAACAATCTAAAGTGTGTTTCTAATTATTTAGAAACCAGGCGACAATTCTTAGAGCATGAAATCATCATGGCAATGGATAACCCATGTTTTAAATTTAAAACATACGTAATCCACTATAAATGTCAATTATGTCTTTCTGTGGTTTTCAGGTAGAGCACAAAAAGGTAGAGGATGTTACCTCTGAGAAATTTTGTTGCAAAAATAGTATTTTTTTAATATACTACGAGGTACCTTATTATTTAAGAACCTTCGTATTAGAGTCATTCGTCGTGCAAAATATTTTGTAAAGAAATAATAAAAACTGAATGAAAATTATTTATCTAAAATGTGTTTTTTGGTTATAAAATATACTTATCTAATTAGCATTATTGCAAAAAATATACAATATGGTTCACTTTATAATCCGAAATAATTTATGTTTAAAAAATATCTTTTCAGGAAGAGACATTTTTCAGCAAAACTAAAATTGTTTTATTATAATATTGTAAACTTACATTCAATTTTTTTACAATGTAACTTTTTCAAAAATTTTGCTTTACAAACTTTAAAATGCAAATCCGGATTAGGAAACCTATCTATTTTATTTTACTGTATTTTATTTATCCATGTGTATCGTCTGAAGAACAGGGGCAAATGAAAAATCACTTCACCCTTTAACTAATTTGTTGGGTAGATATGTTTTCGGATGTTTTGTCTTATATTTCACTATTCAAAAGATATCTCAAATGAATTATAAGTATTTCCACAAATAATGAGAGAAACTGAAGTTTTATACTCTCATTAATGTTGTGAACAACACTATCAAAATCAGATTTAACACATATCATCATTAACACACGAAAGGAAAAAATAAAGTCTATCAAATGTCAACATTAAATGACGCTAAGAAAAAGGTTAATTTTTATGAAATATGAAGATAACGAACAGTATTCAATCTCGAAAGTCAAATTAACGGTACAAACTTGGAGCAGAGCAAACACGGACCTGGAAATTTAGAGGTGGGATCAGGTGCCATGAAAGAGTGAGCATCCCCTGCCGACCGGTGTCGCATAATTTACGTTCCGGGTAACTTAGCGTTCCGGCCGGAACACTCAGGTAGAAAATACGTCATGTTCGAGGTTGCGCCGCCTTGACATACCACTGCTTACAAAAACATTAACGATTCACTAAAAAAAATAAAACTTATGATTTATACTTTTTTTTACAGATAGAAAAGAAGATGCTTATTTAATGTTTAAAAATTCATTGATGTTTCTTAAGCGGTTTTAAATTTATGATGCTAGTCCACGAACTTTTTGATACCCCCTCGTATATATAAAAAATACGAAGTTTCAAAACAATAATTATTTGGAAAGAAGAAGAGATTACTCTGTAATTCTGTTAAAACATGTTTTCCGCTATAGAATGAAGTGGAAAATGGAAAATACCCCCCTCCCCTTTAAACGAAAATGCGGCGTGTAGTTTTCGTCAGTTGAAAACTGCACAGCTCCATTTCAAGTTAGTCGAATTAGTCTTTCATCTTATAATCTTGATTATAAGACAGGACGACATAATAAAATACTTAGGGAGAGTGGAATGTGTAGAATGTGTTAAAGTGAACATGCGTGGATATAGAAATATTTCAAAAGGGATGGGGGGGGGGGGGGGTTGACGACTTGCATTTTGAAAAACTTCTTTAAAAATATGTCAAGAAGTATTAGTGACAGAAGTCTTTTTTTTTCTTTTTTACAAATTTGTACAATTATTAAGTGCTCACAACGTCCATGATCTCTGTAACTTTGGGACATATATCCATTATGCTTTTAAGTTGAGAGAAAGATTTTTCTTATATGATATGGTAATTCTCCATGAAATCATTATATATGACGATTGTGTAATCTATAAAAACTACCATACAATGCCATTGTGTGTGTGTGTGTATATATATATATATATATATATATATATATATATATATATATATATATATATATATATATATATATATATATATATATATATATATATATATATATATATATATATATATCTCCAAAAAATGAAAAGAAATATCACAGTGTCCGGTAATTAATATGAAAATTAAAAATAACAAGGCAACAATGTTAGTAAAACCTATATATATATATATATATATATAGTGAGGGGTTACAATTACCGAAGAAAAGATCATAGTTAAGGCCATCATTAAAAATATCTTTGTTTCCCCTAACCCGATCCCAAAAATCTCAAGTTGGGTAGGTAGGTAGGCAAAAAAAAAATTTTTTGACAGCAGCTTTGAAAATACATTCTTAAAATTAAGTGGAATGATACCTTTATAAATAAGTTAAGTACAAAAGAAAGCGATTTGTAGACGGCTAGAATACCATACAAATGCCGTTAAGACTAACATTTAAGGTAAATTAATTCACGACTATTATAATATTCAATCGAACTTGTGAAATATTTCATACCAGAGTAAATTTGTTGAAATTGAATACATCTGTTTAAAAGGTTCTTGGGTACACAAAGACCGGACATCCGAGTATTTATTTCATACCTACTATCAGCTTCCAGTGCTAGCACATACAATGTACTTTTTCAAGGGCTTCGAATTGTGCATTGGTTCTAGAGCATTTCGTTTTGGAGTCTCGATTTAAGGAGCTAATTCTAAGTTGTAGGTTCAAATCCTTATGCGGGACGTTGAGACCGTTCTTCGAATGAGACCATAAAAACTTGCATGTAGGTCCAGTGTCGCAGTAGATACTGGCACGAAAAAGATCCCTCACTGCTCATGGCCTAAAGTGCCGCATACAAGTCTAAATTTGGAGCCTTCACCAGACAAATGTTTAAATAAATGTTGGTGTCCCAATAATTATCAAAGGAATTCAAATCAAAGAAACAACCAATCTTCAAGGGCCTTATTAAAGAAAGATACACGGACGTCTCAGGAAGCTTGTATCATAATTTCAAATCTATTTGGAAAAAGTATGTTGACCATATTTAATTGAGACAATCCAAATCTAAAAATGATTAAATGTCATACACAATGTCAAAGTCATGAAGTTTAACCCATGAATAAAAGGCAGGAAGAAAAGACGTTTGAATTCTATTCATAAGGATGCAATATGCAGACTTTTTTACAACTCTTATGGTCCCATATACATCATAATACATGTAGTAAACATAGGAATATTGATAAAGTTTATAAGATTGAAACTCAAATAAAATGCAGTGAAATTGATTGTTTTGTTTACAAGGTGGGCCCTTTGTCTGCTCATGAGGGGGATCATGAGGAGGGCCTACGGACCTAAGCATGCTCTCTACGTACTTAATTTCAAGACAGGTTTTAACATGCTTAAAAGGTTATTGTATATTTTATTTTATTAACAAAGTGTTTCAAGAGTATAGGATTCTTATATGCTAAAGGCATAAGGTTGATACGTCGACGTTCTTTTAAAGCATGAACTAACCCTCGTTGACCGAGGCATGTTGTGGGTGCCATTTTGTTTCCAACAAACACTTGAAAATCACAGAACAAAATCAGTCGTTCTGATAAAAACGGATTTTGATGGAATTCTA